TGGGGAGCGCGGCGGGCCGGGGTCTGATGGGCGCTCTCCGCAGACCCCTTTGCTGATGCAAGTAAGGGTGATGACCTGCTCCCTGCCGGCACTGAGGACTACATCCATATAAGGATCCAGCAGCGGAACGGCAGGAAGACCCTCACCACAGTCCAGGGCATCGCGGATGATTACGATAAAAAGAAACTGGTGAAGGCCTTCAAAAAGGTGGGTGGTGCTGCGGCGCCGGGGAGCGCCCTGCGCTGGGGCGGGGGGGGCCGGGGGCTGCGGCGGAGCCTGGAGTGGCGTTTGGCATTTGTGTCACCCTAAGGAGGCTGTTCCCTTTCTTGTAGAAATTTGCCTGCAATGGTACTGTAATTGAACACCCCGAATATGGAGAAGTGATTCAGTTGCAAGGTGACCAGCGCAAGAACATATGCCAGTTCCTCGTAGAGGTAGGACTTCTTTGGCCTGCTGCGCGTGCTACCTACGATTTAAGCTAAACATGCATCTCTGTTTTACTAACCATGCAGGTTCTAATTTTCTTAGCACTAGAAGAGCAGGATGACGGAGGAAGCTCTTTCGGTTCTTCTTGTCATTCTTGCTTGAGGCAAATAGCATCCAGCAAGGTTTTGCAGTTGCAGTCTAATCTTCATCCCATACTTTAGGGGGGAGCAGAACTTTGCCTGTTTGACAACATCTGCAGTGTAGAGGGCGCACACATGTGCGCAGAGGCCTCTGCTTCGGTGTGCTGTAAAGTGCGTTTTCTTTCTTGCAGATTGGACTGGCTAAAGACGACCAGCTGAAAGTCCATGGGTTTTAAGTGCCTGTGGGTCACTGAAGCTTTATGCAAGAAGATTTCCTTACCATGAAATTCCCATCTGTCCCTTGTCAAAAGTTTAAAACCAGCCGGTTTGTGTAATGTAACAATCTTGGGTCCACTGTTCAGTCTGGACTAGTGTAATTCAGTGATGTAATAAACTGACAAGAGCCCATGCTATCTCGTCTTGCTGTCCCTCATTTAACAGAGGTAAATCGGGCATTTGGCATGGTCCAGCCTGGAGCTCAGAGTAACCGGATGGTCCAAGTTAAGCCAAGGGACTCAGCCTGTCAGTCCAGAGACTGTCCGGATCGCTCCTCAGTCCAGCTGCTCCTCCATCCCCATGGACAGTAATTCTGGCGGTGCCTCCTGCGGTCCTACGCGGAGCGAGGCACCGAGCGTGAGCTGTGACATGGCACGGGGAGATAGCGCCTTCCCTCTAGGCAGTGTTGGCTCCTGGTGGCAGAGGGATTTGGGGAAGCTTGACTTTGAACAAGAGGAGTAACTGAAGAGCGCCTTGGAGGCTGGATGTCTGCAGTTTGGGCCTGGCGGGTGCTGGGACCCGGCAAGCCCCGAGCCACTGGGCTAGCGTACTGGAGGAGCCGTTACCTTGGGTTAAACTTCTGACAAGGGATCTGTTTTGGACTAATGTAACAAGTATCATTGTAGATAGAGCTGCAGAGCTTACGTGTCACTAGCAACTGCTGCCTAATGCCCTGTGAAGTAACAGATTTTTGGTTTCATTTTTAATGTTTTATGTAATGTATTTAAAGTCTTATTTAAATAAAAATGGTTTTCAAAAGCATTTGCTTGGTGGATTGAATTGCATTTTGGAGCTAGAGTGCTTTGCTTTGGGTGCACTGCTTTGCAGTGACACTGGCGCAGCACTACTGGTGCTGGCAGAGCAGGAGCCCGGGGGGCGATGGGTGCAGGAATGGGAAGGGGGAGCAGCCGAGCGGGGGGCTGTGTTCGTTAACCCTCACACTTGGTCTCGTGCTTGTTGCGTTCCTGACGGGCCGGGCAGCACTTCTGCTTCCTGCAGCGGCCGACCGCAGCAGTGAGAACAGGAGGCCACTGTCACCATGTCCAGGCTCTGCTGCAGACCAGGTGTGGGTGGGGGGACCCAGGAGCCCCCCGAGGAGCAAGAACAAAGCCACCTCGGGTAAAATGCCCTTTTAGAGCCGCTCGGGCCATGGGGGCTGGCAAGCGCCTTCTGCAGAGGAGCAACGCCAAATGTACTAAAAGTGCAGAAAGTCTGTGTGTTGCCCCCAGCCCTGTCTGTCCCGTGGCAGGTGAAGCTGTGGCTGTGGTGGTGACCTGTCCGCTGCCAGGGCCAGGCCGCGGGGGGAGACGCACCCTGCGCCGGGGCAGAAACGCCGGGAGCTGCCCGGGCAGCCGCTCACACTTCTGGCAGCTTTCGAAGAACAGAACCCTGTTTGTTCACTCGCCACCCACAGTGATCCTGACTTTCCAACCCTTTTCCCCGCACTGCGAAGGAGCACTCAGTTCATTTCACTGCCATTTACTTTCTTTCCTGGGAGACTTTGCTCTCGGAAACCAAATTGCCGCAATTATGCAAAGCACCTGCGAGTGCAGCAAGGCTGCCGGTGACCCCAAGCCCTGCCCGCTCCCCGGAGAGCGAGCGCAGGCAGCGTTGAGGCCGGGGATGTGCGTATGTGCTTTCAGCCCAACACAGCACAACCGCTGATCTGCTCCAAAAACCCAAATTCCCCTGCCTGCGTCGGGGCCTTTCCGAGTGCCTCCAGCCAGGTTTTCGTCCCAATGGGGTTTGCCCGGCGGCTCGCAGCCCTTCAGGCACAAGAGGCAGATTGAGTGTCCCTCTGCCAGGAGAGCCGGGCTGGGCAGAGGCGAGGGATGCTCTGAGCACCGCACTGGGCTGTCCCGGGAGAAGGAGCAGCCCCAGCGCCCGCGGGCGGGCGGCAAACCTGCGTCAAGGGGCTGCCGAGCCCATCGCACCGGAGGAAATGGCCGCTGTGTTCCCGTCACCCTGACGGCTCATTTGGCCCAGATTGAGCCATTAAAAGCCCGAAATTGCAAAACAATTTGTTTGTTCCTTGTGAAAAACACTCCGTAGAGCGAGCGATCGATTGCTGCGGGGCACGGGAGGTGCCCGGGCGCTGCTGCCTTCCTGCCCATTCAAAGCCCATTTGTTTTGGGGTTGTTTGAGGAGCATCGGTACCGCTTTCGGGAAACGCGGCGAGCGCCGGGGGCACGGGCTGACAGCAAAGTGCACCCGATCCATGGGACAACTCTCACACATGTTTTATTGAAGGAGGGAGACAAATGTTGTCCACAAATACGAGATGAAGGTAAATACGGGCAAGAGGACCTGCCAATTTTTAAAGGAAAGACTGGTGGCAGCGGACAGGGATTTACTGGGGGGGCACTGGGCAGGCTGTGCTCAGCGTTACTGAGCCCTGGGGTGGGTGTCGTGTGCCCCCAGCCAGAGCTGTGGGGTCTGCCACCGCACAGCCAGAGGCAGCGGGCAGTGCCCACCCGTCCCACAACACCCCAGAACTTTTCGGGGTGGGGGGAGAGCTGCAGAGCTGCAGAGAGGGGCTGCTCCGGGGCGGGTGTCCTGGCAAAGGGACAACCATCCCGACTGTGTGCGCCACCGAGCGCCCAGGGACCCCCGTGACACTGGGGGGAGCCCCCGGCGCCCGCGTTTGTGGGGGCAAAGACGTCTCAGCTGGTGCCAGTCGCCGATCACCGTACGTACAGTGGTATGTCCACATACACACAGAGCGACACACGTGTGTGTGCGTGTGCAATTGCCCCATATAGTCTCCAGCCACAGCCGTATATGCACAGAGAGCCACACGTGTACACACACACACACACACACACACACTCCCTCTCTGGCGCGAATCGCCCCGTACAGCCCCCAGCCATATAAACACAGGTGTCTGTCTGCACATGTGGGTCTGTGTCTCTATCTCTGTAGCCATAGGTATACATACGTATACATGTACGTGTTTAGATAGAAGCATGACACGCCATGTTATCTATTACTATTATATACGTTATTTATATGATCTATATTTTCTATTGCATTGAATGTTATTTATTATACCATATAATCACTGTTATATAATATGTAAAGTAGCATATACTGTAACCGCATACCTAGTCTATTATAAAATATAGTAATACATATATAATACAAAATATAAGAGTGTGTGTGTGTACTACAGTATAGTCTACAGCCAGGGCCGAGTGCCTGCTGTATGTACGTATACCCGTCCATGCCAGTGTGTGTGTAGGCAGCCAGCTTTGTGTTTATAGATGCACGTATATACTGCTGGGACCAATTGCCTCATATATTCTCCTCCGTCCATACAGACACATATGCACATACACACACACACACCCCCCGATGTGCGCGCACTCTCTGTATGTGTACATATAGATCTGTATAGTCATCTGTCTATGCATTAATGTTTCTGTTTCTGTGACAGACTGACTGCCACACACAGACACACTCCCACCCCCCCAACCATGGCGCTGTAGCTCCGGATCTACACCTATGTATACATCTATTTATAAATATCTGCATCTTCCGGATAGTTGCATGCGTGTGTATATATCTACATGCATAAATATCTGCATGTGTGTGTATATATATACACTTACACGACTCTATATGTAAGTACTTCTAACGATGTATGTATGTATCCATATGTACGTGGGTGTACAGATATGTACCTATAGGGGTGTGTGCGTGTTCACCTCGGAAAATAGCTGTACTGGTCTATAGACATACGGACAACCGAGGCCGAGTACCCTGGAGCTAGTGCTGCCTAGAGTGGTATTTCCATATGTCCATACGTAGCTATGTATGAACCTACCCATATATGTATACAAGTAACTGTATATGTGCGCGTATATCTGTGTATGTATATGGATATGTGTGTCTGGCTGTATGTCTATCGAGCTCTGCGTGTGTGTGTGTATTTACATGTGTGTGCACTCTATGCATAGATGTCTGTATATACACATATATATGCGTGTATGTACACACAGCCCTCTATATCTACAGCTATACCTATATATGTTTGTATGTATCTACACACATACATATCCGTGTGTGTATAAAATACACACATGGAGAGCGCTGGGTAGGTAAGGATAGATAAATAGCTCTACATGTATATATGCATACGTACAACCATGGCCAATTGCCTCATACAGTCTCCAGCCGCAGTGATGCATACACCCCCCGCACCCCACTGTGCGCGTCCGTGCACACGCGTGTGCCCGTGGGCTGCCCCGGCTCTGCGGTGGGTGCGGAGCCGCCCCGGGGTGGGGCAGCTGTGGCGGCGCCTTTAAAAGCGGGTCGGAGCCCGGTGCCCGGGAGGCAGCACCCGCCGAGCCCTGGAGCCAGCAGGTGAGTGCCGGTGGCCGCGGGGACCGGGGGCCGGTGGGGACCAGGCTGGAGGGATGCAGGGGGACGTGGGGACCCGCTGGGAGGGACAGAGGGGACTTGGGGACCGGCCGTGCCCTGGGGACGAGCACCCTGCCTGTCAGAGCTCAGGGAGCACCTGGAGGACGCTCAGGGTTGGTTTCAGGCAGTGCCGCCGGGAGCGGGGAGTTGGGCTCGGTGGTCCTTAGGGCGCTCTGCCAGTTTTTGGCTCCATGATTCCAGGGGACCAGCTGGGAGAGCGGGATGGAGAACACTTGGAGACCAGATGAGAGGGATGAGGGGACTTGGGGACCCACTGGGAGGGACAGAGGGGACGTGCGAACTGGCCATGCCCTGGGGACGAGCACCCCGCTCCCCGCTCGGGTCACCCCTCCCTGCCTGCTGAGCCCGTGTCCCCCGTTCAGTGCCCGCAGCCCCTCCGCTCCCCTTCCCCGCTCAGTCTCTCCACAGCCAAGAAGGAGAAGGTGTGCCTCGGCCTCATC